TTGAGCACATGGACAGAACCTCTTCAGACGACCACCTGACTGAAAATAAAATACTTAGATTCAACTTGAGATAAATTTTCTTGCTAAACCAAAATCAAAGATATTTGTCAACTGACGACTTTAGAATCTTTTGTTCGAAAAGGCTTAGCAGATTTGGAATTGAAACAAACCTTCAACAATATTCCAGCGCAAAAAAATTAAGCCCATGCTGGAGTGTGTTTTTTTCGCGTTCACCTGTCTAGCGCACTTTGCATTAAAAAATCCCTTGCAAAATGACAGATTGGTCCTGATAAATTACTATTTTTTCCCATTACGCTGTTGCAACTTTTGCAAGTCTTGCTTTCCCCTCTCACTATAAAAAACAAGTACTAGTTGATGAAACGTAAGGCAAGAACAGAGAAAATTTTGAGCATTTTTTAAGATGAGCTTGTCACTTTGTAGCAATGATGGAGACTACTGGAATTAATTACGAATGGTGTTCGTGGAGAAAACAAAAGAGTCATAGAGTAGAATTCAAGTGTGGCGCGGTAGACAGCTTCAACAAGCATACGATAGTTCTTATAACTACGCCAGCTTCTAATCTGACGTAGAAGTAGCGATTACATTACCTGCTCGGACAGAGTCGCAAGGAGCAAAAACATTGCTACAACGGATGCAAGCATGACAGATGTCTGACAGTTCAAGTTTTTCATTCTTTCGCACTTTTATACTGACCCATAAAAAAAAGCCGTCCCAACGCTGATCCTTTCACTCTCTTAAGCGTAAGCATAAGTGTAAACGAGTAAGATCTCTGCTTGCCTACGCTGCGCTAATCTGCGTACCGGCCGCTTCAGGCATTATGAGCGTGAGCAACGAAAAAGTTGTTGGATGAATTTGATCAAGATACGATCATTTTCTACAAAAAATCATTCATTCCATTTGATTTCCGAAGAATAGTAAAGATAATAATTTAAAAAGTATTTTAGGCTTATTTCTATTAGGACGGAAAATATAAGGCATGGGAGTGCGATAATACAAAATCCCTTAGTAAAGCCTTTGGTGGACGTGGAAGTCCGCTTCGCGCTTGAGCTCGGCTGCCTA